GCGGCGAACAGATTAAAAGTATTTCAGACTGTCAACGTGTTAGTTTCAGCTTGTTAAAATCACCAAAGGAAGAAGCAATTGTCTATTTGCTTTCTTTTCCTTGCGGTTCGTATAAGCAACTTTTACTTTGCATAAAAATCACCAGCCAATCATTACAATTCCATTATTTCGTTGCACTTGTTGTGTCCTGTTAGTACGATGAATTGTACATATTGCTTTCGTCGAATTCGAGCTCGGAACGTCGCGCGAAGGATCCGCAATGGCTTTATCGCTGTCACGTGTTCCAAGTAATTCCGTCTGTCACTGTTGTTAGTTATAGTACTTTTGTCATTTTTACCCTATGTCCGGTACGAGCCTGCTTATGATGTGTACTTTGACACATCTGGCAGCCAAACTCGCCCGGGTCAATACCGTCTCGCCAGCGAGAGTCCTTGGTTCCTTGGTACCAGACAGCCAGCCACGCAGGTTCAAGGAACTTTTCGCTGAACGATTTCGCGTCCAGCGGGTTTTATGAATTTTATTTAAAATACATTACAGAGATTAAACTTCATTCCAAGTAAAAACGAATTTTTTATTTCATTGAAGAAATCGGCGATTACTTAGTTGCCAACCCAATATGATTGTAACATGATCAATTCAATTTATCACAATCATCTTTCTCGCAATAAAGGGTAACGTTCCGAAAAGGAACAAATCGAAGTAAAACCGCGGGAAAAGGAAAAACCGTTGTTGTTGCACGGATCCGTTGTAAGTTCTGCAATGAATTATTTATAGAAGCGTATATTTGCATAATCATGTTTTGTTTCTGCTCATTGAATATGCTGACACCATTCCGCGGAAGAAACTCGCGGGATGCTGTGTATCGGAGTAGCTCGCTTAATGTAGCAATCTCTGCTGAGACCGGAAGTAGTTTCACGAAGCAGAATCAACGGATTATATTAAAATCGAGGAATTTTCGAGCCGTGAAAGCTGCGCGTTGCATAAAATTTCACTAAAGACGCGTTTTATCCTGGTTAAACGGGTATTTAAGCTGCTGCGGCTGACGAGGAGAGTGGCACGCACCACGTGTTATCTGCTCGCTGCGTCTAGCCGCGATAAATTGTTCGCCAGCCCGTTAATTACCGTGCGATCGCGCGAAAGTAAAACGACTGATTAGATAAATCATAGAGCGAACGATCGTTCTTGTAACTCTTTTAATTGCATCCATACTTCTTCGAGGTATTCGCAAGTTGCGTTTCGCCTTCTCCGCGAATGTCCGGTTTGACCGCAGAAAATTCACTATACCGTATCCCGTGATACCAGAATGCACCGGGAGAACAAAATCAAAAATTCTATTTCCCGAAAGAATTCTGCTAAAAATTCTTGTAATAATTCTGCTCTTCTATATTCGTAATAATGCCGATGTTTGCGATTAAATGAACCGAAATAAAACCGCAAACCGCTGGTTCAGGTTTTTTTCTGACCCAATTCTTCGCGTTAATTACTTGCCATTTACATTTCTAGACGCATGGAACTTCAGGTTCCAAGAATGCGATAAAAAGTTTCGGGATATACTTTTATTTTTAACGAGGTCTTTAAATGGAGCTATACTTGTTATAATGATGTCTCAGTTCTGCTGCATTTAAATCGTGAAAGGTGTTTCGCTCGAGATTCACATCTCGCCTTATTCAACAGATTCATTATCGTAGCTCAATTTCGCGGATCTTTATGCGAAATGAACATTCTCTGCGCTATTTGCAACGGAATGGAAGTTAAACAGAAATTCGTTTTCCTTTTTAATAAATTTTAGAAAGTCGGGAACGATATGGTAGTATTTTTACACTCTCCTGACGTTCTTACAGTGTTTCACCTGTCCGATTTCGTTTTAAACGACACAAGAATAATAATAAACGATCATTAAAATTCATACTTTCATAGTTTAATTGGTAACTTTCCTGTCAACAATTCGCTCTGTCCACTCCGTTAACAAACAAAGTTTACGACACGATGCGGAATTTCTTTTCACGATCAATTATTTTCTATCTATTTCGACAAATTTTTCAACGCGCCATTTTACAGAATTTGTCGATCACGTTCTAACGATCACCATCACCGGCCCACAATTATATTATTAAAATATTTCTATCGATAGAGATCAGAAAGAGATTATTATGACAAGCTCTTATTCTGCAGTTCGATTTCATCGAATTTGCAGCAGCACCTCGACCGTCCGACTTCTCCGACATCTAAATTCGCTATCATTCAAACACGTTATACCTAACAAATAAATCTAAGACAATCCATATGTAACCCTATTTATTGTAAAGTTCAATAAGCATTTCATCTAGCACTGATATCTGGGCAATTGTTCTCTAACCTGAACGCTCGTGTTCTCCAGTTTAATTCATTTTTCAAACTCCGACGTTTTTACTGGAACGATTAGGTTACAGCAGGACCCCTCTTATCCGAATGTCTGAATTCTCGTCATCAAAACACATTTCATATGGCTCGATTTATATCAATCCATTCGCGACACTATTGTACAAAGGATCA